ATTATAAATAGAATTTATTTACATTTAACATTTATAATTTCTCTAATTCTTTACTTTTTTCTTTATTCTTGGTTCCGTCTGACCGAAACAGTGTTCTGTGACCCAGTAAGCAGCCCCTCCTCCTCCCCTACTGAGGCAGACCTGCTGCTCACGTCTTTATTTATTTGTTTATTTATTTATTTTACTCCTTCGTCCTGAACCATTTTGCTGCTTAACAAATAACCTCGGGCCTCAGTCAGAAGAAATTGGAGGGTTTTTATACTTTTGGCCTGAGGAGGAGGAGGAAGAAATGGTGAACTTAGGTGGAAATTTACAAACGTCTACATCTCTACCATCATTTTCTGTTCTTTTACAGCTGATTGTTCACAGAGTTAAGAGCAGAAAGGGACAGTTTGGATAAATAAAGAATAAAATCTGTTTTTAATCATGACTAGAGGTTTAAACCACGCTCTGACTCAGAGCCAAACACAAAAGCAGCCTTAGCTTCAGGGCTGCAGTCATTTAAAAATGTAAAAAATGTCTTTTCAACGCTGCATGTTTCCATACAAGATGAGTTCAAAAGGACTCAGTGTGTCTCTAAACAGAGCCGTGGTGTGTCGGTCCTGCCTCAGGTGTGTTGGACCTGCAGACACCTGCTGCTGCACCACATGGTTCAGGTTTGGACCGGTCTCAGCTCACAGAACCCAGTCAGTTCTGCAGATCTGAGGAGCTAAAGGTGGTCTCAGCACGTGCTCCAGCAGAAGACAGGGGGGTCTTTAAGGACAGTTAAGCCTGGACATGTTTGTGTGTCTGTGTCCCCACACAGACCCAGGTGTGGACCGGACRGCGCCGCTCACCTCAGCGCTGCTCTCCCGGCCGAAGAACATGTCAGAGGAGATGGCCTTGGCGTTGGAGAACTTCTGCCTGGCCTCRCTGGACTCGGAGACGGCAGCCGAGGCCTCAGCTTTCCTCCTGCTGGGAAGTCTGTGTGTTACAGAGACCAGGATCAGGACCAGGACCAGGACCGGGTCACAGGGTTCAAACTAACGGACCATGTGGAGTAGGAATGTGCGATATGGCAAAAAATTCATATCACGATATAAAACATAATAGAAAATAAATAAATCACATTAATTGAGTGGAATAAATTTGTACAGGTAAAAAAATTAGACCTTAAAATCTCCTTTTTAAGGAACACTTTAAAGTCTCCCTTAAAAATCTAAATTAAAGGGAGATCTACCTGGTTAAATCAAATATCACACACACACACACACACACACACACACACACACACACACA